ACTGCGAGAGCTGGGCCTGTTTAGCCTGGAGAAAAGAAGACTCAGAAGGCATCTGACCAATATATACAAATATTTGAAGGGAGGGTGTCAAGAGGATGAGGCCAGACTCTTCTCTGTGGTGCCCAGCAACAGGACAAGAGGCAACAGGCACAAACTGAACCACAGGCAGTTCCATCTGAACATGAGGAAAGCTTCTTTCCTGTGAAGGTGTCAGAGCACTGGCACAGGTTGCCCAGAGAGGTAGTGGAGTCTCCTTCCCTGGAGATATTCAAAACCCATCTGGAAGTGATCCTGGGCAATATGCTCTAGGTGACCCTCCTTGAGCAGGGAGGTTGGACTAGATGATCTCCAGAGGTCCCTTCCAACCTCAGCCATTCTGATTCTGTGATTCTATCTTACTCTATTTGACTCCTATGTACATTCTTCCACTGCTGAATTACGCTCTCTGTACTTTTTTTTTCTAAATAAAAGATCTGTGTATTAGAGGAAAGCTTCTCACCAGCACTGATACTTTTATGTAATGATGGCATCATCTTTAATAAAGTAGATAAATTGTGATCTTAATACACAGTAATGCATAGACTTAAAATAATTTTTGTATAAAATCTAGAAAATCTTTAAGTCTTTGCCCAAACCCCATGAAACCTCTTTATTTAAACTTGCAAAATGTGATAGGATTAAAAAAAAAAACACAAACTTTTAACTTGAGGCAATTGAGCAAAATTACTATTGATACTTTTATGTAATGATGGCATCATCTTTAATAAAGTAGATAAATTGTGATCTTAATACACAGTAATGCATAGACTTAAAATAATTTTTGTATAAAATCTAGAAAATCTTTAAGTCTTTGCCCAAACCCCATGAAACCTCTTTATTTAAACTTGCAAAATGTGATAGGATTAAAAAAAAAAAACACAAACTTTTAACTTGAGGCAATTGAGCAAAATTACTATGTTAGGAGCACAGTAACTGTAGGTTCTCTCCTGTCAGTGGACAAAGATATGGATCTCCTGAAAGTGGTTTAGGTCCTCTGAAATTTGAATTGTCTTCAAAAGGAAGGTGCCTGTCTGTCTTTATTGACAAAATGAGGCTGGTAAACCCAGAATTCTAATTTAAGCATCATAAGTCAGATGGAATACAGTAGGGCCTTAGCCACCTCACCACAGCATGTTTTTAATCATTTATCCATTTTAAGTATCGTTTCTTTTCTAAATTTTTTTCTCAGTCCCCCCTTTCCACAGTATAGTTCCTCATTCTCTAAGTGTAGCTTGAAATCTTGAATGCTATAGATACAATATTAACTTTACCTGCATTAAGATTCATATTGCTCACGTGAACCAACCTTCATCTGCAATCTAGAGGATCCTTATCCATCAAGAAGCACTTTAGTGGATGATATTGCTGTATCACTGACATTTTTATGCCTTAGTTACAGGGCATGTTAAATAAACAAGATGCTTTGTATTTAGCAAAAATACTAATGTAAAAGTTTCTCCCCAGTTTTTCATGGTCACATTGGGAAGGACTCGCGGAAAAGAATTTAAATGTTCAGCACAGCCAGAGGTTGCAAACCTTGCTGTACATCAAAGACTTGATGGAACAGTGAATATACTGGTGAACACATACTGATGCAGATTCACTGAATTTTGCTTCTTACTGAGGAAAGGTAAATAGTCAGAAGGAAGCGACCAATCCTGAGAGGATTCTTACCTTTTGCTAAAGGTAATCACTCTCCTAACTGCTTCAGCTATTCACATGGCAGGAAGTTTGCTCTTAAATAAAATTCTCTTTTTATTTTTGATTCCTTTTGGAACATGACATTCAGTCTTGTACAGCAATAGTGAACCTCTGTTAGCCTTTTTGCCTACAAATGATTGACTGCTAACAGTGTAACCTAACTAATATTTCCAGAAAAATCTTAAATCTATACATAACAAAGACTTTAAAGCTCCAAAACACCTAAACAGGAGTGTTGTTACAGAATTCTTTTCTCTAATTACCCTTTAATTCTGTATTTTCTAAGCAGCTATTTCAATCTAGCAACAGTAAAATACTGTAGTAATATTTAGCATATAGAAAACACTTAGACATTATCATTCACAAATAGAGTTGAAGCCAAAATCAACCACATTTTTGCATTATTTACTAGACACCTGAGTTTAAGGCGGTGGCTGTTACTCTTCTGAAGAAAACAAAGCTAAAAAAATCACATCTGCTTTTACATCTTTCACAGCTTTGAGACTGGTTTCTGTAGAGGTGGGTATATGCACTTTATTATTTCTGTTTATGTAGTTCAAATGAAAGGAATCACATTGACAGTACTGGAGACAAAAGCCTTCTATTTAGCCACAGAACAGATGCACTGCAGGCAGCACTTAGCTATAGCATGCATTTATTTAAACATCTACTTTTTGAGAAAGTTATTCTCCAGTTCCAATAGGAATTAATTCAAGAAAGTTCAACAAACTGTATTCTATACAGGTCAGACTGGATGATCACAGTTACCTTTTCTGGCCTTACAATCTGTTAATATTTTACAAATATGAAACTTTCATACATTCTATATTAATAATTTTAAGTAGTGTCAGAAGCTGGCCCAGAACTCTAGTATCTCACACAGCCTTGCATCTGCCTGCATTATCAGATTAAAAAAGCTGCTCTCCCACTTGCTTTCTCTCTTGTAGAGAGCAACAAAGCAGTCTCTTGGTTTTAGCAGCACATCAGCATCTACTCAGATGTGGCCTGCATAATTCACCTTTGTTTCCAAATGAATGCAATTGTGAGTGCTATACTCTGGGCTGAACACAGAACTTTCAGCTGTGTAGTATTATCATGGGATCAACACACTTATTGGAAGATATGTCACAAGTAAGAAAATTTACTTTGTGAACTCCCTACGAATTTTCGCACAACATAGGTGCAACAGGTTAAGTGAAGCCAAAATTGCAGTGTCATCTGAAATGTTAAGAAGCAAAATTAAACCATTTGCGGATTCATTTCTACCTTGCTGTCCAGGGAATCAGTAGGGACTTTATGGCTGTTGCAGTAGCCCTAAAATGTCCATTAGCAAACTGTTGGGTCTTAGTCATAACAAAAGCTATCAGCTATAGTTTAGTTTTGTTTATTTACTTCCTTAAAGTCTCATATCAGTGATTCAGGAATTGCTACCACATGGCCTTGACTTACAGTTTTATATATCTATTTGATTAGGTGCCACAAGTCTTTTAACTATTTTCTAGACAACAGTTAGATATTAGCTAATGGAATAGCAGCTTCCATTTTTATCTGAAAGGCAGATGAAGAGAATGGAGCAAAAAGAGTTTTAAATTTTAAATAAGCACTGTAACTAGAGAAAAGTAAAAAGATATCCCTTTTCTTCCTTCAGGTACTGTAGAATTTTTGCACTAACTTTTTTGTAGTTGTAAACTGTTAACAAACATTTATATCTCAGGTACATCTATGCATATACAGCTCAGTTTTCTGGAAAGTTTATGAACAGATGGTTTGGACTACGCTAATAAAACATACTAAGGAAGTTCTATAATATCAATTACAATCTTTCTTTTTCCTTTTTATACGTGCAACATATGGGAACTCAAGAAATGCAGAGAGAAATATTGCTACGCACAATACCTTAACTTGGAGTTTGCCTTCCTGTATTCGCCCTTTCCATGAAGCTGTAAATTTAAGGCTGTCCACAGAACAGCTCATTACTCTGCAGGGGAAACACATATATATTTAATGTTAGGGACATTTAACAACAAAAAACTGAAATACAAACCTGAAAATAATGTATTTACAATATGTACCATATCACATTAAGTCTTACTGTGCAGGAAAATATAACATTTTGAACTTCTTTTAAAGTTTAAAAAAATGTCAGGATTTAAACAAGTAACTCCTAACTATTCTACTTCAGTGCAAACAAAAAATAATAGATTACTAATGAGAGAAACTGACATAATTTGTTAGGTCTGTGTCCTGAAAATGAAGTAAAGGTATTCATAAAGAGGACTAATGGCATGTTAGCATCCTATTGGTAGAATACTTTTTCCTCACCTTGCAGTCTCCTGGCGTAAGGCATTGAGAAAGGTTTCTGGATGAAACAGGTCTGAGAGGTCAAGGGTGTCTGACAATAGTTTCTGTTTTTCTGCTTTTTCTACCCAGTTCTAAAATAGAACAATGGGAGAACAATGAATCATGACATTATTGCTTGATTATCGACGTTTTCAGTTGTTGTGGACTTGTCAACTGTTGTGATTAATGACAAATGTTTGCTTAAACATACTATAATCTCCAAGATGATATTAATTTCAATTATTTCAAACTGGTAAACAAAAAATTGACCCCATTTAAAAGTATGAGGTAAACCAAGAGTTTATTTTTGTGTAATGGAACACAAGCAAATAGACTATGCAAGATTCTTTCCCAAATCCAGAAAACTTGGAGGAGGGACTCAAACTTGGAGGGAACTCAAAAAAACCCAGCCCGCTACATAGAAATGAATATCGTTTATTCAGAATGAATACTACATCCTACTATATTCTAGGTTCTACTACATTCTTGACTTTCTTGGGCAGAAACTTGCAGGAGTTGGCTGGGTTTGAGTTAAGAGCATGTGATACCTGCACACTCTTGCGAAAATGTTAAGCATTAAGTGTCTGTATGAAGCAATTGTAACAAAAATCAATGTATATAGAAAAACCACGTCATTTCAGTTTGATGCTTTTCATTTGAAGTTTGGTCTTCAATTTGTAAAACATTCACTTAGCACTAGCTATCATTTTCTCATATTTCATACTGTCACTCTCCTTTTTTTGAACAGTGTTATCCTCAAAAACACTAATAACCTCAGACTAAAGAAATTACCTTCTGAAGAGCTATTTAGGTACATGACTGGTACACTCAAAATCCTATGTTTTGCAGCTTTGAGTCTTACAACGCACATCATTCAATACAATTTCATTACGCAGTATAGTTGCAGCCTTGACTATGTTACTGTAGTCCAAATATTAAATTACTGTATACTCCACTCTGTAAGTGCAAGCTTTTGCATAGAAAGATTAATACTTAATACTAAGCCAAAGAAAACTCAGAGACTAAGATTCCTCACGCTATCACTGAAAGAAGACGACAAATCATACTCCTTTCTAAATATCATCTACTGTAAGATTATAAGTCTACCCTCAATACTAAATAAAAAACTTGGAAGCTGCACTTTCACTGCAGAAAGTACCTATCATATATCTTGTTGGAAAAGGATTTTATTGTATTCTTTGAATTGCTAATAGATTCCATAAAATTGTCTCAGTAGTGAGAAAATCATTCAAAGTACATGGAAATATCACTCAACGAATTTTAGACTTTTTCTTTGTCAGTATGTCAAACACAGCTGCATAATGTTTCTACCACACTCAAACATTTAATTGGTGACCTTTAAATCTGTCACATCACAAATTATGAGCCCTCAACCCAAATGATTAAGATTCAGCTAGATTTTTGCTTTCCATTTTCATTAGCTAAATGTAAAGAGTTAATTGCTCTTGTCTGCATGATTCTTTCAAAGCCTTCAGATAGCAATAATCCCTTGTATCATACAATAGTTACTATGTACTCAGGTTAGGACAGATTTTGTAGATTGTTTAGTATAATACAAGCAATCACAACCATTTCAATTTGCATCTAATACGATCAATTTATTTTTGTCATCAAATAAGCTTTTAATTTAACTGTTAAAGAGTAATACTGTCAGGAACATAGTTGCTTATGTTCCATCCATTTAAAAGATTGATATGGCTGGTATTAATTTCTGAATTCACATAATTCAGTAATACTAGGAAACTCAAGAGCAAGTTTGCACTTGCTACCTACTGGTCTACTGAAGACACAATTCTTTCACATCTTTTTAATAAATAATTTAGATTTAAATGCAATAAAAATGCTAATAAAATGTATTTTACCACAGCTGTAGAAATAGCTTTCTTATCTTTATTATCCTTTTCCTCTTATATGACCACGGGGCAGAAAATCAGCGAAGTGACATGGTCTGGTCTCAGCTCACAACAGTACTCTTCTATTATATGTTTCAGTTGTCACAAGTACATCCACCGACATAACACTTAGAATAGATCAGTGAAGGGCAAGAGCCTTAAGCTGAGCTATGGAAAGACTGAAGTGATGTTTCTTGAGAGGGAGAAATCCTTTAATAAATCAGATATAATATTTTCATTTCCCTCTCCTACCCTATTCCAGTAAAGATATGCATTGACTTCACTTGTCAAATTGATGTAAAGTTGTTTGATTTCTTATTGATCTTGGATGACCATGCAGCATTTTAGTCTAAAGTACCTTCCTCCTTCGCCAGCTCAGTAGAGAATGTTGCCATTCCTGCCAGGCTGGCCAAAATAATCCAAGCATTTGCCACTTGCCAGCTGGACCACAGTAATTCAATGATTTTAAGGCTGAATGAGAAGACAACATCAACTCCAGGACAGTGTACAACTTAGCTACTTCCTTCTGTGTGGCTCAGATCAATACCTATGCTCTCCCTGCTGCCTCCTCTCCTTTGTTCCTGCAGTATGGTCTTTTTCAGTTCTGTTGCATTTAAGGATTTGTTTTTCATCTTCAAAACAGTTAATAGTCAAGATCTAAATTATTAAAATCAGTTTTCAGCCTATGCTATAACCGTGATTTACTGTGTTAGATATAGTAGCTTACAATAACCAGGAAAAAGCATACGAAAGCTGAAATCAAAGCATTATTGATTGATAGCATTTGCCTATGAAACAAAATTAAATGAATCCTGACTCTAACTGTCTTGGAAATAACGTGTAACTTATTTTTAAAAATGCCTTTCCATTATACCAATAATGTGGTTTACAAGTCCAAAGATCTTGCCTCCAAAACCATTTATATCACAAAACAAAAAAAAGTAATCTATACTGCACTCTTCTTTGTAACTGTTAAATTACTAATATTTTAATTTTTCCAGAATCCTTCTCACAATGTTTAGTTACTATGAAGCTAGAATTTTAGGTTTAAACAGTTCATGATACATTAATTTAGCATATGATGATTATAAATATAGTATCAAAACTTATCAGCAATACCAAAGGAGCTTTGCAAAGCAATTCCTAGTAGAATACGTTAAAACTTTAACTAACGTGAGCTTCTTCTTGGTATAATAAAAGGATTTTCTTTTTTCCAAAATAAGAGCTCAGGGCAGTAAGTATGGTCTCAGGTGGTTCAGGCTGTACTTTTTCACGTATCTTAACATCCAGGAAACTTCCAGGTATGTTTTCCTTTTTCAGGAAGAAGTTTTCTTTATCTACTATAATCCCAAAGCAAACTGAGCACCTTATATTGAACAGTGGAAAGAAAAAAAGAGGCTGCTGGATTTTCACATTATCATTTATACAGCTTTAGGTTCAGAGAAGTCCTCTACAATGAATCAAGTGCTTTCCTTCACCTGTTTTAATTCATTCCAAATGTATTTGCTTCTATAGTATTTTCCCCTTAGTGTGGTCCCAGAAGAAATTTTTTATTGAAAATTATATAAATCACTATAGAGGTGATTTCATTTTTATGCCTATACAGAAAACTGTATTCAGTATTATATGAATATGCAGAGCCAGAAATCACATATAGTAAAATTCTGTTTTTCCACTAGTTTTCAATGGATTCAATGTTACTAGAAAAAAAAAAAAAAAGAAGGACATTGGTAAGTCCAAGAGCAAACAATGGTGAGTAATGCTGCTAAGGGAGTAAGTATTCAGTTAACTAGAGTTTAGATTAAGCAAAGGTCAATTAAGCAGTTATACTAGAGTCTTGTTTTCCTTCACGATGCAGCAGCTGCTCCATATGTATGTGCTTAAGCTATGTCATTTCGTGGTAATTGCAAGCTAGAGTACTTGTGTTATAATGCAAGGAAATGAAACAGAGGTATTTTTTTCTGGCACTAAGCAGAGGGTGCAACATGTAGTTACCCAGCAGCAACCGCCATATGATGACTGCTGTCCTGTGGTAATTTGTTTGTATGTGAAATCCTTGAGATATTGTAGTTCAATGAACATGAGAGTACCACTGTATTTCAGGTATACGATAAGGTGTGCATACTATCTTTTAAATGGCAAATCATACAGGAATTAAATTTGGAGATATAAACTTATTTTTCTTTAAAATAGTGCTCTAATTTCATTTTGTCATTTTAGAGCATTTAGACCAAAACTGCTCAGTGCTTTAAACAAAATACTATTTCTTCACTTCAGCTTGACATGCCTCAGAAACTCCATGTTTGCTCAGTAAGTCTGAATACTAACATAATAGCACAGTGTTTGAGCATATAAATTCTGAGTCCATTAGGATCAACATGGTAGCTAACAATGTACCAGAAGCAGATGTGCTGTAAGGCATAATCAAGGGAAGCATTAGCATTAGTATGAGTAAAAATGTGATCTCATTTCAATTACTGTATTCACTTATTTTTATCAAAAGAGGAACTTAATTTTCCATGAGTTGTTCTTTCCTACATTCAGTAAGGATAGCAAAATGATGACTCTGCGTAAGAACTGTAAGTATTAGAGAAGCTATTCACTTTAAATATCATACTAACAGGTTATAGACTAGCACATCCTAAATTTCAACTTTAAAATATTTCCTATACTACCACTGAACAAAGAAAGCAGTTAGACAATACTCCTTTGCTTTAGGTGTTTCACTCCTTTGTTTATCCTCAACTAAATATACCAGACTGTAAATAGACTGTATTTGCAGTTCCGTAGAGCACACATGGGTAAAGATGGGTTACAGCTGGAGCTATTCTGTGGTAGAACCAGGAATTACAAGATGTACAGAGCAACAGTAAAAACTATTTAAAGAAATTTTAATGTCCTTCCGTCCTGGCAGAGATTATGATCATACTTCCCACTTTCACTGATAAGAGGCTGCAGAAAAAGAACAAGGCAGACAGTGGCACATAACACTCATTCATGGATAACAGACAAGACTGCCTACCTAAACCCGAGAAGGAGTCCTGACTTTGTCAGTCATAATTCCTTTGGAGGAGTCTGGAGCAGGGTGGTACTGAACTATATGGAGGTGTAATGGTGCCAGGGGGATAAAACAGCCATGTAGAATAGTCAATATAATCGGCACTACTAACGTTGGGATGCACAGCGGTAAATTGCTATATAGTACCACCTTGAATGCTGTGTTAAGATAAGGGGAGCCAGCAGAGAACTGCTTCCTTTGCTGCTAATGGTTCATTTTCCCTGGTCAACAGTCCATGAGATCTGGAGTTTCCATTTAGCATCTCCCTCCCAGTCCTTGCTC